ATGCAACGCGTGGTTTGAAATAATCAAATTTACTTTATTCTCAAAACATCTAATTTGTGGACTCAATGAGTGCCACTCTTGGCCAAAGTCTTGCACCATATATGTGATGCCATCACCTTGGTTGTTTTGATTGGCGTATGCAATCATGGCACTATCAATATCTACCGCTATATAAGTGTCGATATTTAATAATGATTTGAATTGTGTCGACATGTTTCCAGTCCCGCAACCAATTTCCAGTCCAATATCAAACACTCTAATATAATAAAGTGATTATTTTTATTTAATGTTATTAATTATAAATATAATAACATTATGTTATTTGCACAAAAAAAACTTATAAAAAATTTGATAAACACATAAGTTTGACATAACTTACTTTCCTTTTGAATAGGTTTTGATTTTATCGAGAAGACAATATCCATCCAATATTTGCCATTTATTTGTTTCGTTGTATAATTTTGGGTCGAAATTCATTGTTTATACAATTAATGTTATCTAAATTATTTGCAAAAATAAAACAAGTTATTGTATTTAATATTTGCCAAAACTTAATTATTTTTTAAAATAAGGTTATTAAGTTACTAAACATTAATTAAGCAAACTTTAAATGCACATAATAATCATTTGTATAATATTAAAGTTTATATAATGTACAACAATTTTAGAATACTACAGCAATTTGGTATTTGAAAATAAATTTACATCAACTTGTATTACCTATGGCCTTTGTCTCAAAACTATCATAATATACATGTATGTAATCTACTATTTTAAAGGTTACAAAAATCAACTTTCTATTTGACTCGTAAAATACCAATTATGGATATCTAATGGCTATCAATTACTTAAACTATTTAAACAGTGATCATCATCTAATGCCTAATTTCAAATAAGTATTTTTATATATTTATAATTTTTTTTGTTATGTTTTAAAATTAATCTATAAATTTTCTCCCGTCCACATACCTAAAACGCTATTAGCTATACAGTCAAAATAAAACTTAACTTAATGTATTAATTGACTTCGATAATTGTGTTAGTATCTCTACGATAGAAATTAAAATTTATTTATCAATATAAAATAATTTATACTTTAAATGTCAAGTAAAACCCAATGAGGTCTTCTCCATCCTCTATATCTGCTTTGCTTCACTTAAAAACACTTAAAATTGAAGATAAATTATTAATGGATTTTCGCAATAAAATCTATAATCCAATATATTATGAATATCATATAAATATCACAAATACCGCAATGTCTTAAATTTTAAAAATCATATATAAATAAATAAAAAATATTTTCGCACAAAAACACAAGTTTTAAAATAATTTTGCAAAGTTTCACTTTCTGTTGATCCAAAGTTAATACCATAAGAGTAATAGCGTTTACTCACTGAGCCTACATCACTAGTCACCTTACTCACCAGCAAAGGGTGAGAGTCTGTGCTGGCTACTCAAGCGGGCGTTAGAGAAGCTGCCGTGTCTAGACCACTGGCTTCTGCTGTGCGCAACGCCAACAGGTATTGCTAATAACAGACCACTTATTACAACATTAATTATTTGTTCACAACTTTGTATTCAGACTTATTCGGTATAAGCGCTCGGATGGGCAAAATAGTCGACTACAACAAGTTTGACACCACTTTCTTCGGCCTTATGGAACAGTTAACGGATCAGATCGACCCCCAGTCCCGGATGCTATTGGAGACCACATATGAAGCTTAAGCGCTCGGATGGGCAAAATAGTCGACTACAACAAGTTTGACACCACTTTCTTCGGCCTTATGGAACAGTTAACGGATCAGATCGACCCCCAGTCCCGGATGCTATTGGAGACCACATATGAAGCAATTGTTGACGCGGGTTTGCCAATTATATTCGTTTTGTACTTATTTATTTACATTGTTTTGTGTAAAACAAGGCATTTGTCCCCAATCCCTACGTGGTAGTAGGACTGGAGTGTATATCGGGGTCAGTCATTACGCCAATAACGATGGATATACTGAGGACATGCAGCCTGACCTGTCGACCAACAAGCAAAACACCATGTTGCAGGTTATGGGCAACTCTAAGGCTCTGTACGCCAACCGTATATCATATGTATTCGACTTTAAGGGACCGTCACTTATCACAGACACCGCCTGTTCGGCCAGTTTGACGGCATTCAACGTTGCGCTCAACGATTTAAAATTAGGTATTATTGCGGACATCAATTCATTAATTAAAATAACCGTTTCATATGTATAAACCCTTAGGTAATGTGGAGTACGCTATAGTGGGCGGCACTCATATGACACTCGAGCCGTCCATTATGCAGATGACTCAGGAGACGGGTATGTGTTCGCCGAGAGGTGTGTCCGCAGTTCTCGACCAAAGCGCCGATGGCTTCGTGAAGGGCGAAGCGGTCGCCTGTCTTCTACTGCAGTACAGACGCGACGCCAGACGTGTTTACGCCACTGTTCTCGCGGCCCGAGTCAACAGTGACGGCAAGAAGACAATCGGCATGTTTTACCCCTCCAGTGAAGCGCAACAGGACTTAATGGTCATGACTTATAAGGAGGCGGGTATTGACCCCTTAAGGATGACATACTTTGAAGCCCACTGCACGGGCACCAAGGTCTAATTAGTTTATATTAATAATAAGTGAATAAAACGAGTATAATTACCATTAAGTCATTATCAATTGTGTTTGAATAGGTTGGGGACCCACAAGAAGTTCGGTCCATTTATAACGCCTATTGTAAACTCCCGGGCCGTACGGATCCGTTACCACTCGGGCTCTTAAAGAGTAATATGGGTCACTCGGAGGGCGGCTCTGGAGTATCGGCTATAATCAAAGTGTTGATATCGTATGAGAATGAATGCATTCCTCCAAACATTAATCTCAATGAGATTAAAGATGAGTGTAAACAGTATTGCCCACCATTATTGCCTATAGTTAGCAAACATACATATAAACCTGGTAAGTTTGTTAATTATAATCACAGTACACTAAATTTAAATTCACGCATTAATTATGGTGTTTAATAGGAATGGCGGGCATTAATAACTTCGGTATCGGAGGAGTGAACGCTCACGTAATCATTGAACCGAACCATAAGTTGGGAACGAGTGATGGCTTTGTAATCGCGGAAACGATTCCCAGAATTGTAAACATTTGCGGCCGAACTGAAGATGCGGTCAAATATGTGATGGATTTCATACAAAACAACCCAAAGAAAGTGACGAATGACTTTTTGGCACTTTTGGCACACACTATGAAATACACGCCTAATGTTAACTCATCGGGAATGCCGTTCAGAGGTTTGATTGTAAAGTAAATAAATTAAATTAAAAAGTATTCGTATTTTAGGTTCACTTATAATAAAGAAAGTTTTTGAAGAAAACAATGAAATAAAATACGAATACAAGAGACAAATGGGAGTAATGAAAGGCAAAAGTGCTCGACCCCTATGGCTACTGTTCCCGGGTTTGGGCGGTCAGTGGCCGGCAATGGCTGCAGCTTTGATGCCAATCAAGATATTCGCCGATAAAGTGGAAGAATGCCATCA